CGCCGCTCAGCGTGCTCTCGGCGGTCCAGGCGCGGCGTGGCCACGCGGTGACGGCTGCTCAGCTGAGTCCCTTCAATGATGCTGCGCTTTTTGCCGTCACCGGTGACACGATGGGGCAGGTGCTCTTCTGGAACCGCGACCGACAGGCGTGCATCGCCGTTGACACACCGGAGTGCGTGACGGCGTTGCAGATTGTGAGCAACGGCGATTTCGTGGTGGCCGCGAACGGGGCAGGAAAGCTGATGATGCTGGACAGCAGCACTGGCGCGGTAGCGGTGGAGGTGTGCGCCCACTCGCGCTGGATCCACGCGCTGGCGTTCAACAAGATAGCCAACGTGCTCCTCTCAGCCGCTGAGGACGGATACGTGACGGTGTGGTCGGCGCCGGTGAGGACTGCCGACGGTGTGGCGGGGGGGGGGGNCGCCCCTTGCGACGCATAAAATCCAGAACGCACTGCCTACAGGTGTCGCCTTCACTGCCGACGGCACGCAGGCATTCATCGCGGTCTACGACATCGACACAGTGACACAGTACACTGTTGGCTGAAAGGGACGCAAATAGGAAGAAGAACAGGTAGGCCTCTGCGCTGGCTGCAGCGTGTGTGCAGGCAGGGAGGGTATGTGTGCCGTCATGTGTACAGGATGACTGCAACAACTCTGTATGACTGCTTGTGTCTTCGTGTGCGTGTATCAGTGAGTAAAGGGGGTTTGTTTGGTTTTGTTTGCTGTTGTCACTGAAGCGCACACACTCTTTTTCCTTGTCACTCTTATTGCTATTCTGCCCATGCTCATGAAAGGGGAAGTTGTTTATTATTATTATTATTATGCTGCACGCCACGGCACCGACAGACGACGCCTTCTTGCACCTTCCGGTAATGGTAATAAACAGTCGCAATGACGACGGCGACGACGACATAGTAACGCTTCTGGAGAGCTGTGATGTCAGCGACGTAGAGACATGCACGACGCAAACAACACCCATCTTGGATGCTGAGGCGGAGGAGGACGAATGCGACAATGATTATCATGGTGCTGCGCACGACTCTCAGTTGGCACGCTGTATGGCGTCACAATCTTCGCGCCGCTGCACAACCGTCTCCAGAAAGCCTCTGTGCCCATTGACATCTTCCACGCGTGTGGTTGCTTTGACCACAAGCGAGATGCCGCTGCACCGTGCAATCGAAGGAGAAATGCCACCACCACCAGCAGCAACCGTGGCATTCCCCGTTTTGCATGCATCTTTCGAGGCAGTGGGAGGCACACAACGACAGGGTGGCGCACATCGTTACCTGGTGCCGATGACAGGGGCGGAATGGTGGACAACGGCTGGCACGGCGCCGCCGTTGCGGCTCACCTGCACGTACCATGTCTCCCGCAGCGATGTTGCCGCGGCACTCGGAAGCGTGTGCCCGCAGCAGACGCGGCATACGGTGTCTCGCGTGCACTGTGAGGTGCGGCTGCACTTCCGTTTGCAGCAACAACAACAGCAGCAGCAGCCTATGCAGGATGGGAGCTCCACGGCACCGCATGCAGCAAATTACAAGTGGACATTGTTCGACATCGTTGACTGCTCTTCGAGCAACGGCACTTTTTACGGTGGTGTGAGACTTTTCCCCTCCCATCGCTACAGCTTCCCAGTGAAGGGTGACCTCCGTTGCGTGGAGCTCGGCCTGGGGGATCGATGCCGCCTCCGTGTGTTCATGGAAGACGGCACCGTGCCCTTCGCAGCGAAAACGGCGGAACCCGGTGAGGCCGCTGTGCCTGTTGAAAAGATTGGTGTAGGGGTGCAGTGGACCACGACGGGTCCTCCCCCAAGAAGGCGTCCGTCACCGCAGAAGCACCAACAGGTGAAAAAGCCTCGAACCGTGCGGGAAAAAGAATCTGCCTCCTGTTTCTCCCGGCGTGGTGGACGTGCGCAGAAGAGTAAGCGAGCCTGCGTTGACGATGATACGGTGCCATTTATTCCTACCCGTTCCAATAGTACGAATGAGTGTTCTGACAAGGCATTGACGATAGTAACGACCGGCATTCGCGTCACACCCGCAAAAGCGGCAAAACTGCGCCGCTTGAATATCACAGTAAATCCAGCCATGTCGAAGTTCCCGTGCGCAACACACCTGGTGGTTGAGGGGCCATTAGTGCGAAGCGTCAAGCTAATGACATCTTTGCCGTACGTGCAGCACATAGTGGATCGTAGATGGCTAGACGCTGTGATCGCATCGTCGTCATCGCTCCCACACTCGGTGGACCCCGACGCCTTCCGCTACACGGAGCGGCGCACGCGGTGCAGCATCGAAACGGTCAATGACTTTTCACTAGAGGAACTCATGCGGACACCGGTGCTGCAGCGCCAGGCGCTGTTCGCCGGTCAGCTGTTCTGGGTGCACCCCAACGCGGAGCCGCAGTGCCCGCCCGACAATGACCTCCGCTTCGTCATTTCTGCATCTGGGGGTGTTATCACGACAAATGCATCGGATGCGACGGTCGCGGTGATGCCGCGGGTGGAGGTGACGGCATCGCTGTGGAGGCACGCAGCACAGTGCCCATTAGAGCCGCAGTGCATCTTTGTCGTGCCCAACGATGTGTTTCGAGCCGTACTGCAGCAGCGGCGGCTTACAGAGACGACCGTGAGGCACCCAAAAGGTGTTGACACGCTGCCGCCGCGCCCGCAGGACCCGCAGTTGGCTGCGAAGGAGCATGCGCCGGCTGCGCCTGAGTCCCCGAGGGCCGCCAAACGCAGACGTCGATGATTTTGCCCGCCACTTGTGCTTTAAACAAAAAAAAAAA